CTGTCTAGGCTCCTCCCTCCCTGTCTGACCCTCCATCCTTCCATCCGTCTAGGCTCCTCCCTCCGTCTGACCCTCCATCCTTCCAGGCTCCTCTCCGTCTAACCATCTAGACTCCTCTCTCTCTCTGTCTCTGACACACATTTTTAAGGGGTTAATTAACCACTGGAACAACTTATCAGGGGACATGTTGGATTCTCCATTGCTTGAAGTCATTAAATCAAACCTGGAAATCTTTCTAAAAGCTCTGCTCTAGCTCAGCCACCAGATATGGGCTTGATGACCACCCACAGGGCGAGGTTCTCATGTCCTGCAGGAGGTCAGGCTAAATGGTCATAATGGTTCCATCTGGCCTAACAGTCTTGGAGGCTCTCTCTGGTGTTTGTCAGGCCCCAGGCCCCTTGGCCTCCATCCATGGATGACTAGACCAGCCCCTGAGTTACCCCCGGGCTGGGAAGGATGTTGGAAGAAACCAGCCAGGCCCCTGGTTTGGGATGGCACTTCTCTCCTCTGCTGGCAGGAGATGGGGTTGCTGGCTCTGGGCTACACCCCCCACGCAACTCCCCTATTCCTTCCCAGGGGAGCAGGGGTTTACACAAGCTTCAGGGCCATGGAGTCGGATAAAACCCGAACCAGCCTGAAGGTTCCTCCGAAAAGGAGACCAGATCCCAGCGCTGGAGCTGTGACTGGTTTCAGAGAACGTCTGATTCCTCCCTCTTCATTGCTCTGCATGGTGAGCTATTCCCCCCTCTCCCCGGCATTCCCACACACACACACACACACACACACACACACACACACACACACACACACACACACACACACACACACACACACACACACACGGCTCAGAGCAGCATCTGAAGGCGGGAGGTTCATAGGGACCCTGCCTCCCCGAGCGTCTCCTCTTGCTGCCCTGCACGCTGCCCCCCACCCGGGATCCGGGCCCGGCTCCTCGGGGTCTCCTCCCTGGGGATTCACCTCCTGTACAGCTTGGCGTCTGACCCGCTCTCGTTCCCATTGAGGGTCCCCAGCGACGGCCACTGGTTCACCAGCGGCGTGGCCATCTCCTTGGAGAGCTGGGTGTTCTCACAGGGGATCAGGCCCGTCCTGGAGGCAGAGGAGGAGGAGGGGAGGCTGTGATGCGGAGCGGGCCAGGGCTGCCCCGAGAGACGGGGCCAGGAGCACAACAGAGCCCTACTCGCCTCCCAGCAGGGCTAGCAGCCACATACAACGTGGCATGGAGGGCGCGGTGGGAACTCTGGGGCAGAGGGAACTGATGGTGGGAGGAAAGGAGAAAGCCCCTGCCCGCGTGGGGCAGAGGGAGCTTGGGGGGAGGAAGGGGAGGAGAGAGCCCCTCCCCCCGCGGGCCAGGAGGAGCTGATGGGGGGTTGAGAGACCCCCTCCCCGTGTGGGGCAGAGGGAGCTTGGGGGGGAGGAGAGCGCCCCTCCCTGCATGGGGCAGGGTTTTTTTTGATGGACTCACAGCTGCTCCTGCAGTTCCAGGATGACGCCCTCCAGCTCCCTCTTCTCCAGCTGGTTCTGCACCTTCACCTCCTCCAGCCTCATCTGCAGGCGCTTGTTCTCCGCCTCCAGGTCCTTCAGCTGGGATTCCCGGAGCCGTACCAGCTCCTCCAGGTACCCCTGGGGCACAGGCAGGGATCAGGCCCGGTGGGGCAGGGCCGGCCTTGCACTGGCTGCAGTGAGGAGTGAGCTCGCTGGTGGGGGCAGGGCCTGGGGATGCACAACTGTGGGCGTGGCACACTGTGCCCAGGCCAGCTCTGCCAGGGGAGGGATCTGGAGGCAGGGACAGATAGAGGAGGCACGCCAGAACCACCCCGGTGGAGCAGCAGCCTCCACCCCAGGCAGCAGGGCTGGGGCTGTACCCCCCGGCGGCATGCACGGAAGGGAAGCGTGAGCACCATTCTGATGGGGAGGGAGCAGCTGGGTGCGGGGGGCGGTCAGGGTCACTGGCGCTGCTGGGCTCCCCCGGGGTTACTTGTCTCTGCTTCAGCACCGGGGGCTGGACGAGATGACCTCCCGAGGTCCCTTCCAGCCCCACATATCTAGGAGGGAGGCTCAAAACCAACCCCCCCCACCCCCAATCCGCACCCCTCACTGCCAGGGGGCAGCAGGGTCCCCCGCCCCAGCCTGATGCCCGGGTACCTTCTGCGCATACACGATGCGGAACTTCTGCTCCATCTTACGCCACTTGTTGTACCAGCTGTCCTCGTCGGTGACCAGCAGCTGGTAGGGGTGCTCGGGGGAGCTCTCCTCGCTCGTGCTGCTCTCCACGCTCCTCCGGTCCTCCTCGTCGCTCAGGTAATCGTAGCTGCCCAGAGAACCAGGGGCTCAGCGGGAGAAGACAGCTCCCTGTCTGCCCCGATTTGGCGGGGAGGGTCAGGGGTGTCCTGGGAGCAGGAGTGAGGCTCAGCGAGTGGAGGGGGGCACGAAACCCAGAGAACAGCACAGGTCCGAGTCATTGTTGTCTGGGCTGATTTCCTCCCCTGGGCAGCAGGAGAATTGCCTGAATGGGCGGCTTGGCAACTTAATCAGCAAGGACTGGAGAGCGAGTGAAAGTGTTGGAGGGGCCCAAGGAGACGCTAAAGAACATAGCACTGTTGCCAGCTAATAAGAGCTCTCCGCTGTGGCAAGCGGATCAGATCTGGGGTTTGGAGCCAAAGATCCAGACCCCTGGGGTCTAGCCCAGATGTGCCTCTTCTGGGCAGTTTAGCGCAGGACATGGAATCACGGTAACAGGGTCAGAGCCTGGCACTTTGCCATCCTGGACTGAGCTCCCTTCACTGTGCAGCGTGGGGAGCTGTCCAGAGCGGCCATATGGCCCTGTCCACTCGGGAAAGATCTCGTGGTGCTTTTTCCTAATCGTTTGCCCCATTGTCCCTGGTGGCATTTCTGCTTCCTTCCTCCCCCAGGCCTGTGCTGAGTGGTGGGCGGGTTCCCTCACCCCAGAGGTGCTGCCGTGTGAAGCACTCTGGGAGTTTTGGAGAGACAGAAATGTAAACCCAGTAGTTCAGCCTTGCCCCTAAATCACTCCCTCTGGCCCGTCTAATTCCTGCCGTGGCTCTATCTTATGGAGTGCTCAGATCTATGTGCCCAGCGATGTCACACCAGCAAGGGACTATTGCCTTCCTGCCTCGAGACGCCCCGAAACAACATTGTGCCTAAGGACCAGCCGTGACGGGGCCCCTTGTGTCAGGTGCTGTACAAACACAGAGAAAGTCCCTGTCCCAAAGAGCGTATTGGCTGTCACAGTGCTTTGAATCTCCTAATTTGCCCTTTGCTCTCTGTCGCCCCCTAGTGCTCTCTCTGCATCGCTCTTTCCCATGGTTCTCCTGGCCACTGAACGTCAGCCTTAGATCATTTCCCCCCGGGACGTGCCAGTTCTCGTTTTTCCAAGCTGAAATCCAACTGTTCTCGCTCTTGACCCCTTGGGACTATTTCTCTGCACCTCCTCTCAGTTTGCAATACTCACTGACCTGCCTCTCCTAGGTGCTGGGTAGATGTATGTGACGGCACCGTAGCAACGGGCAGTGTCTTCTCATGGCCCCCTAGCGAGAGCGTTTGAGGTGCTTCGTGCAGGAAACGGGACTACATTACCCAGAATCCTTAGTGACAGGGTAGGTATCGGCTTGGAAATACAAGTCTGGGGGTTCTTAGTTGCATGATGCAGTTACGCAATTGCAGACCCTCCTGGCGGGGGTTTTCAGCTGTGATAACTACAGGCGTCAGGACGCACCATCCCCTCCAGGTGCAGTGATGCACAGTGGGAGGGGCAAAGGGCTGTACAGATCCATCTACATAACAACAAAGCGACCTGGAGTCAATAGGAGAGGGAGGCTGGTCTTAGCGCCCAGCTGACCAACCTCCCATGAGAGACAGCATGGTCCAGTGCCTACCCCCATCATCTGGGACTCAGGAGACCTGGGTTCCCTTCCCAAATCTGCTGTGGGCAAGTCACTTCCACTCACTGGGCCTCCACTTTTCCCTCCCGTCGCTTGTCTGTTTAATTGTAAGCTCCTTGGGGCAGGGACTGTCTCTTACCAGGCGTCTGTGCAGCACCCTGGGGCCCTGACCCTGGTTGGGGTCTGTCGGTGCCACTAATGGGAGCTGGGCCCCCCACACTGACAGTGGCTGGCTCATTGGGTGGATGATACAGTAGCTGTTACCTCTGTGTAAACTTCAGATACGGGGTGTAGTCAATGACCACAGGGGTTTTCCCGTCCATTACTTCCCCTTTCAAGCAGAAACTGAAAGACACAATGAGAAAAAGGAGTTCTGGCAAAACCGATCGATCAACACTGCCCCAGAGCTCCTGGGGTCAGAGCTGGAAACATTTTCCTGTGGCTCTAACTCTACCCTGACACCGTTCTTGGGGTACCCAGGACTGAGAGTCACCTTCTTTTTCCCTGACGCCTGGGCATCAGCTGCCTAATACCACCAGCCGGTCAGCCACTCAAGCCCTCTCCTCTGGTGTATCCCAGCCCTGTCTTTGCCTGGCACGTTCACAAGAAGTGCACTCCAGCCCCCGAGCCCTCTTGAAGCGTTCCTGGGACACCCAGCCCCTGGTTACTCACAGAAATCCCAGATCTGCCCCCAAGGGAACAGTGTACCCCAGCTTAACCTTAGATCGCTGCTCCTGTATGTCATGCAGCATGTATAATAAAACCAAAGAAGGTTTATTTAAGAAAGAATAGAGGTTCCACCAGGGAACAAGAGCGGGAGAAAGAAACAAATGGTTACAATACATAACAAATCACAGAACATGCACTAGGGCCTACACTTACGAATCGCTCCCTTTCCTAGTTAATACAATAGGTTCCTCCCCCCCCCCGTCCCAAAGTTCAGTCTGTCAGGGAGCTGGCTGGCTTCCCAGGACCCACGATCCAATCTTTTGTGAAACACTCCGCTCAAGAAGAGGTCTCCTCAGTGAATGGATGCAGAGGGTCTTTGTCCATCCTGTGAAACATCAAACCAGCCTTTTGTCTTCACTGACAGGCACTGTGATCCCCTGTCTGCTCTAATATTTCTTTTTACCTCCATGGGGGTCTGGATTGTTTGCAGTTGTCTTTGGTGGTTTTCCATTGATTGCTCTAGGCAAGGGTAGACAACTGAACCTTGCATTATGTCTCCGGCTGACCAGGGATGGGTGACAACCCCCTCCTGCTTGCATGGGCTGTCACTGACACATAGGATTCCCCGATGACTAACTCCTACTCCAAGCCCAGAAGGCATAGTTTTCAATGTAGCTATATCATTCCTTAAGGGTGGCACCCGTACACACAACTCACAATGATTATGAGTCTTGGCAAGTCACAAGCTTTCAGTGGAGACCTCACACGCTACCCTTCTTGGATAAATACCATGAAAGTGGTGTATGAGGTGTAGTGAGTGTGTCAGGTCTGAGACAGGAACTGCTTGTAGAGAACAGCGGAGAGCTTTTGCCCATTGGCACCAACAGGCCTCTGTGCAACCTACCCAAACCTCTCCCCTGTAGAGTACGGTGCAAGAACACTGAATGAGGGGGGAGCTCCCAGCTACTGCAGTACCAGCCTCTCCCAGCACGGGGTACTGTAGGGGTGGGGCAGGAGCACTGGCTGTGGGGGGAGATCCCTGCTGCTCCATTCTCAGCCCTCCCAGCAGGGGGTGCTATGGGGGGGTGCAGGAGCACTGGCTGTGGGGGGAGATCCCCGCTGCTCCAGTACCAACATTCCCTAGCAGGGTGTGCAATAGGAGACAGTGTAGGTCTGAGGACGCACATCCCGTGTCCTTAGTCCGGAGCAGGAAGCCAGGCAGGAGTGGGGCTGGAAGGGTCGAGCCGGACCAGTTCAGCCATTTCCAAGAATGAGGCCAGGAGAAAATATGTTGGTTTTGCCCATGTTAAAAAATTCTGGTGACCTCTTTGAAAAGCTCTTGCAACCCCGTACTTTGGTGCAGGGACATGAAATGTGGCCGGGCCATGGGTCCAGGTGTCAGGGATGCACCTTTTGCCACTTCGGTGAAAAGCCATCTAGATTTGGCCCGGTGATAAACCTTTGACGAAGTGCAGTTCACGCATGCGGCGGACAGATTGATTCGATTTGAGCAGCTCGATTCCACAGAGATTCCATCCGCGCTGGGCATACTCCAGCCCCGGGCCAGGCAGGGCCGCCATTGCAGCTGTGGGTCCAGGCCATGCCTATGCTCTAGGGATTATTTGGGGGAAGCTTGTGTTATGCGGAGGGTCAGATGAGATGGTCCTTTCTGGCCTTGGAATCTCTGAAGTGAGAGCAGGGAGCCTCTCAGAGACCCTCCTGCTTGGCCCTAGGCATAGAGGAGCACATTGGGGAACAAGGCGGGGATGGGTGGGGTGGATTGGGGTGGATTGGGACAAGGAGCTTGGGGACGAGGAACCTGGCTGGGATGGCAGGTTGGTTGTGG